GCTGCAGGCATACTCCCCAGAGTCTGCCTTTAGCTTCCCTGTCTTAGTGCACCTAAAGGGAAGGAATGTGCTTATTAAGGCCCACTGTTTTACTGGGGCCCATTGTATGAGCCTGAAGTTTGGCAGTTACCCAAGAGACTTTTCCCCCCACCTCCCTCTGTACCCAAGCTGTCTTATCTGTGTTTTACTGTCTGCTTGTAGTTAGAAGAGAAGTGATTTCCTTGAAATACATGAGGCCAGAAAGGGAGCTGGAACTTAAAGTGGCAGTGTTTGTCTAAGATGACAGTCCTGCTGCTCTGTCACCCAGTCTCAGCTGAAGTCAGGAAGACAGAATGGTTATCACCATTAAGTGAGTGAAACCAAACAATTCCTTGGATGAGTAGTTTGATTTCCCCCATGAAAGGGAAGGATCTTTACATGCCAGAATCTCTCAGCACATCCTCCCCAGAAGGAATGCCTCTGTGTCCCACAGAGGAAGCAGTTTCTTGTCTCCCTTGGATGCTCACTCCCCAGGGTCATGTTTGAGAATGGCAGCCTCCACTATGAACTTAGCTTCTCTCCTTTTGGCTAAGTTGATTCAATGTACCTGCAATACAATTCCAATTACTACTTTCTGAAGCTCAACCCAAGAAAGAGATCTAAAGCCAGAGGGAGTGGTGCCTGTGGTGTATTTTGAGTGAGGTAAGGGGTTTCTAAGAGTTTGATAAATCTAACTGCTAAGGACTTCCACGTTTAGAATCTAACCTCTTTGAAAGATACAACTCCCCTGTAGTTAGGAGGATCAAGTACAGGAATTGTGTCTGTGAAGAATACACAAATAGCTTTCAGACAGAGTGTAAGAAGGATGCAACTGTTAGAAGTTTTAGCTCAACAAATCTTCCTTAGCTCCAGCTCTGTGCTACTACCTAGTGGTCACAGCTGAATATGACACAGTGGAGAAGCTGGAAGTGGAGGGATCCTACCTTTGTCCCTAACAAAGAGCTTCAGGAAGGGAAGGAGGGGAATAGACATTCCAGAAGAAACCACTCTGGGCAAAGCCTGGAGGGCAAAAAGAGCTTTTTAAGTAGTTGTTTTCACTCACACACGTTCGGTATTGGAAAAGGTTTTCTTAAGAAAGTGACATTTAAAAGGATCTCTGAAGCTTCAGGAATCCTTCTCAGATTCCATAGAGCCTTTCACTAAACGGTCATAGCATGCTGGGCTTTCCCTTCACATCACTTATGGCAGTGTAATCATGCACTTGTCTGGTGGTGTTTTAATGGCAATCTCTTCCGCCATGCCAGGAGGGCAGAGAATGTGTCACCTTGCTCACTACTGTATGCCCAATGGCTGGCACATCACATGTGCTCTATAAATGTTGACTAAACAGGAGTGGGCAGGCTCTGCATTAGAAAGAGGAAACTAAGAAAGAAACACTATGGTGCTGACATGGAGAAGTGTGGGTAACCCAAGGCCAGGGAGCGAGGCTGAGAGCTCCCTGAATGCCAAACCCAGGAGCTGAACCTGAAGGCTGGGTGGCAGGTGGACCCCTGAAATAAACTTGCACAGGCAAGTGATTCACTCAGAACAGAGGGAAGGTATAGCATGATTCAATAAAGATTTGGGCACCCATTGTATACCAGGCCCTGTGCTAGATGCTGGGGATGCCACAGCCCATCTGATGCTCTGAGCTTAGTGGGAGAAGATAGGCAGGAAATAAGACGGCAAAAAATAAAAAAGGTGATTTCAGAGTTCAGGATGTGGAAGACACAAAGGGTCAGGAGGTGATATTGGAGCTAAATTTTAAAGGATGAGAAGTCAGCCATAAAAGAGCTGGAGCCAGGATATACCAAGCCAAGGGAATAGCCAAGAGGCCAAAGGCTGAGCAGCGAAAGAATAGGAAGAGACCAGGCTGGAAAGGCAGATAGGGCCAGATCACATAAGCTCTGATATGGTAAGGAGTTTGAGATCATTTTCCTAAATCCTATGGGAAGCATAAAGGATCAGTGGGCAAAAAAACAAAAAAAAGGGATGTCGTAGGAGGGCAGTGGTATGGATAAGATAAATACTAAGGAAGACCTATAAGTGAGTGCTTTCAATTCTCATTCCTCTCCAAACTAACAGAGATCTTTGAACCAGGAAAAGATAAGGCTCCATGTTTTGGAGGTAGATGGACCTAGCCTCCCCTTCCCAGAGAAAACTGCCTCCTGTAAATCCTCAAAAAAAAGAAGAGTCTTGTTTATCAGCACAGCCTCATTATACCCAAAGGCTCAAAAGTTATTTGCTAAATGAAGTAAATTAGAGACTCAGAGACCAGAAATTAAAAACAAGACAAGAGTGGTGAGAGCAGAGGACTTTTGCTTATGGCACACATTCAGTAGTAATATGGGAAAATACAACAGTACTCATTAAAGAGTGAGTCTTATGGCTTTATGACCCCAAGGAGGAGAGGTTCTACATGCAGATGGGAAGAGGCTCAGCATTTTAGGCTGAGCTATTCTCCTAACTGGATGTTCAACTACAGGTAGGCCACCTCCTTCTCTGGGCTTCCAATTGCTTCAATTAACTGAGGGAGCTGGAGCATTCACCAAAGAATTTCTGGGTGACTTCTAACTCTCTGTAGCTTTACAACCATCCACCCCCGCTTCTATGGTGAGAGAAGGTGCTTCATGAATATCTGCTGTATGAATGAAGCCCAAAAATCTCATTTTACAGCACTGGAAACCAGGGCCTGGAGGGGTTAGGTAGGAGCTCAGGGTCAAGGAGCCAGTTAGTGGCAGTGTGTGGGGAAGCCCTCCGACCTACAGCTTGGGTACTTCAGAGCCCTTGGATAAAGTAACATCAAGGAAGCAGTACGTGATCGGAGCTCAACTTTGGAGTGGGAGTAGGCAGGGTACTCCTTGCAATCCACTGGGCACTAGATTGGATAAGGCTTGTCTGGGGTCAGAATGCCCAGGCTCAAATGTGATAACCTGCTTTCTGTCAGCTAAAACCGACTTTCTCAGACTGAGAGTTGTTCAGGCTTCATGTTAGCTTCTTGAGCCGGACAGACTCCATCTTAGCTTCTTCATTTTACTTATTTTCCCACCATTAATTATATAACTGTAGTATGTATCTGGGGCAGGCTGACACTGGGCACATCCAGGAATGCATTTGTTGATAAGAGACCAAGTTAAGTGATACTAGCAGAGCCTGGGAATGCAGGTGCTGTGGAGTGCCCAGAGCCCCCAATATCTATAAATCGTATGTCTTTTATGACAGCTTTACCCCTTGCACCTAGCACTGGTTTATTTCTCACGTACTAGTTTATCTTTTTTTTGCTTACTGTGCTTCTGTGAAAAAACTGCTTTCAGCTGGTTTCCCCCCTCCCTTTTCAAACTAGGGTATAAAAAACCCCCTTAACTCTTTCTTCAGGTAGAGAATTTTGGGTGTTAGCCACCTCTTGGTTGCCGGCGAAAATAAAGAACTCATGGCTGGGCGCGGTGGCTCACGCCTGTAATCCCAGCACTTTGGGAGGCCGAGGCGGGTGAATCACGAGGTCAAGAGATCGAGACCATCCTGGTCAACATGGTGAAACCCCGTCTCTACTAAAAATACAAAAACTTAGCTGGGCATGGTGGCGCGTGCCTGTAATCCCAGCTACTCAGGAGGCTGAGGCAGGAGAACTGCCTGAGCCCAGGAGGCGGAGGTTGAGGTAAGCCGAGATCGCGCCATTGCACTTCAGCCTGGGTAACAGGAGCGAAACTCCGTCTCAAAATAAATAAATAAATAAGGACTCATAATTCAAACTCAGAGTGTGGAGCACATCTTGACTCGCTCGGATATAACACAAACCCCAGCTCCACGATATGCTGGCTGAGTGGCTTTAGCCAAGACTCCTGTGTCTAACTTTACTCTTCAGTAAAATGTGACCAGTACCAGAGCCTGACTTACAAAGGTCGCAACGAGATCAATGAGACAAACCACGTAAGGTTTCTTGAACAGTGCCTGACAGGCAGCAGGGGGCTCAAAAACATTCCCGTTAGTGGAACTCCAGCACCCCAGCACAGCACACGCTACCCGGAGTGGCCACTTGTCCGGACGCGCCTTTTAAAGGCTCGAGCAAAATGGAAACACGTGGTGTATGGCAGGAGCGGTAGTAATAATTAACAACCATCAATTTCCAGTTACGAGCCACACGCAACGTGCTCCGCACTTCCCGTGCCTCCTCACGGCCTAGTTTACGACTTCCCACGTACAGGCCATTCTAAGGTCCGGGTTCGGGCTTCACTGTGACCTTGGATCAGCCCTGTTAGCCCCAGAGCCTGGGTATTCTCGTCTGCAAAACTGAAGCGGCGACCCCCCGGCCGGCCGGCCCTGGATGGTCCCAGGGTGGCCACCTGGGCCGCGCCTCAAGGTGGCCCGCGCCGGCGGCGTGGTCGCGAGGTGCCAGGGCCTTCGTGTCTCCCGCAGGCCCTTGCAGGCCCGTATCCATGGCAGCCAGCCCTCCCTACCTTCCTGCCGGCAGTAGGACATGGCTGCAGCCCGGCTTTGAGACCTTGCAGAAGCGGCGGCAGCAGCTACAGTTTCACGCCGTGACCTCCCTCTCCTCAGGCAGGGCGGGCGCCTCCGAAGCTCGGGCGGACCCGCCCCCTCCAGGCCTGCCCGCCGCGCGCCTGCCTTGGCAGCCTCTCAACCCTGGCCCGGCCCACCTCAGCCGGAAAATACATTACCCAGGAGGCTACGCGCCCTTCGGCAGCTCTCCAGGCAGTAGAAACTACATTTCCCAGAAAGCTTTGCAGTGCGCAGGCGCATGAATGAGGTACTGTAACGTACCTGACCCTAAACTACAATTTCCAGGAGGCGTCGGCGAGCGCATGCGTAGAAACGCTGGGCACGCGGGGCGGTAACTGCGCTCAGTCTCGCCTATTTCTGGAGTCCACGCGGATTTTAGAAGCTGGAGCTGGCAAGAGGCCGCTGGACTCCACGCTCCGGTCATCAGCCAGCTTCCTAGCTGAAGAGCGAGAGGCGGCGGCAGCGAGCTGGGTCCCACCGTGGCCGCGAATGTGAGTGTCCCCTGGCCAGCCAGGCCACACCCAGGCTTCCCCGTCGCCCTGGGGCTCTTCGCCTGGGGCGTCTGGGTCCATTTCGCCGTCTGGAGCTCCTCCGTGCAGCCGGGCCCGCATCGCCCTCTGCGCGCTTTGTCTGTGCCTTCGACAGCTCATTCCTTTCTGTTACCTGTCGGCCCGTCCCTGTTCCTTGGCCCAGCTAGTCCTCAGCCTTCATGCGAAGGCGGACTCGGAGGGGCGCCTCTCCGCGGCCTCTCCTACCATTCCCAGTTCCTTCCTGGACCTTGCCGGTCTGAAACTTGCTCATTATGAGAGCTGGACGGGACCTCAGAGAGGGGGCCAGTCCTTGGGAGGGAGGAAGGCGATCCAGCCCAAGTGGAGCTGTCCAGCCATGGACAGACAGGGCTCTCCAGTAGGGCAGAGAGCTCCCCGCCCTAGGGAGGTATGTAAACCGAGGCTGTGATGCTGCAGAAAGCTTAGGCTGAGCTGGGAGCGAAGGAGTTAGGGGGGCAGGGAGCATTTCTCTACTATAGGGCCCCTCCTCTTCCTAGCAAGGATTTGGTTGGAGAAGGCCTGGCTGAGGGTTGTTCCTTCAAGGCCTCTTCTCCCTGCAACCAGCCTTTCTCGGGAAACTATTTATAAGCCCAATATTCATTCAACAGACCAAGCAACGCCTCCTACCAGGGCGCTGGGTGTGGTAGAAGCTGGTGACTCACCTCTCCCCTCCTCTGTGAAAGTGCTTCTAGAGCCAGCTTAGGAGCCCTGCCAGCCCCAGACACACCCTCCCTCCTGCTTTGGTAGAATGTCCTAGCAGCTCTCCCCTTGCCTGTCACACCCTGTTTCCAGGCACCGCTTCTGTCCCCAAGGGTCATCTTTGCCTCTCACACCCCTTGAGAGCCCAGGGTGTGCATCACCCACAGCCCTAGCACACTGTGCCTCAGGTTACTATCATCCACACTCCCAGGACACTTTGGGCCTTCAGGAGGGTTAGAAGCCTCGAATGTTGTACCTAGAAAGGTGCTCAGAAGAGAACACTGAGAGGTGTTCTGAGAGACTCAGGGTCCGTCCACCAGGCTAGAGGGCAGTCAGGAGACCAGCCTGTCTGCAGCCTGTGGATTCTTTGCTCCATCACCACCACCACCACCGTATTTTACAGATGGGGAACTTCCCCAGCAGGCTAAGGCACCTGCCCAAGTTCTTGTGGCCAGCTTGGCATGCTGTGACACAGGGACATGCTGAAAAGGTCAGACTTTGGAGTTAGGGAGACCTGGGGCAAATCCAGATTCTTCCACCCAGTAGCTGTGTGGTCTTCATCTCTCCAGGTTTATGTAGCCTCATGGATCAGTTACTGTGACATTTAAGGGAGACTGCTTAGCACAGTGCCTGGGGTGTGGTAGGTACTTAATACTTGAAAACAAGCCTGTCCTCACAGAGTAGCACAGATGGTCCCAGTGGATAGAGACCACCTTGGGTACATTGAGACCTGACCCCTCACCAAGGAACATGCTTGCATTTGGGTATCCTCTGCTGCCAAGCCTTTGTTAATTCTTCCATTAGCTGGGCACACATTTACAACAGCCAGTAGGCTGGGTGAGGAAGGAGGATCTGAAGATATTTATGGTGGGGGAGCAGGGAGGCTACAGAATTCTCAATCAGTATAGCAGCAGCAGTACCTGTGGTGAAGGTACTGTTCCCCTCTCCACTTTATAAGTGAGTAAACAGAATCAGAGAGGTAGAGCAATTTACCCAGGCTTACACAGCAAGCGATTGGGGAACCTGGGCATCAAACCCAGTTCTGTCCATTTCCAGGGCCTATGTGTTAGCCTCTGTTCCCACCACTCATTGCTTATTTCCTCTGAGTTCTGAGTGCTGGGACTGGGAAGGGATGTGTCACTGGGGATGTCTATGTCTCTGTGTGTGTGTGTGTGTGTGTGTGTGTGTGTGTGTGTGGTGTATTAATATGATGTATGTGTAGATGTAACATATGTATATGTAAATATGTATGTATATATAGATCCTTTATGATCTTCCATGTTTACTGGGAATTTTGGTTCTGAATGTGGGCTGGGTATGTCATGTCACTGTCTACCTCACCCCTCCTCTAGCCTGAGGGGCACCCTCCCGTACCACTCTTCCTTCCCTACAAGATCATCTTTGAGCCCTTTATCCTGATGCTGGCTGAGGGGAGGCCCAAGAGGAAGCCACACCTTGTTTTCCTGTTGCTGCCTGCAGCTGGTTCCCAACATTCAGCTCACGTTGTACCCCAAGAGATGGGGAGCACAGACCGAAATGAATAATGGGAGAGTAGTCTCCAGTCTGCCTGGATTTGAATCCTAACTCTTCCTCTTAGAAGCTGTGCGACCTGGGAAGGTGACTTAACCCCTGAGCCTGATTTTCTTATCAGTGAAATGGGGTCATTCTAGCATCTACTTCTTTGGGCTTGCTGTGGGCTGGCCTGTGATAGACTAGTGTGTTTGCCATTGTCATCATTATGATGGTCACCTGCCTGCCTGTGGTGATTCACTTCCCTAATGTTCCCAAATGGCATGTAAAGTCAAGATGACTTCTGGATTCATGGACATCTGGTCACTGCAGGGCTTGGCTGGTGGTATTCAGAGACAGTTGTCCAAACAGAGACTCTAACTCAAATCAGTCCTCAGGTACCCAGTGCCAGGATAGGGCCTGTCTTAGCTAGTCCCCTCTTTACATCTTTGTGGCTTTTGTCAGCTGACCCCCAGCCAGGTGCCAGCCCAGTGTCAGTTGTAGGGAAATCTGTTAACATTCCCACTAGCTAACACGTGTATAGTGCTTTCCATGCCGTAGGCCCTGAGCCACCCAATAACTATGTTCTTTGGTTCTCACCACAACCCTATGCACCAAGGAAATGGAAGCCACAAAGGGGTGAAATTACTTGCCCAAGACCCCATAGTTGGTATGTGGCAGAGCCTAGATTCAAACCCAGTCCTTCTGGCTCCAGAATCCTTCCCTATGCGATGACACTTTTGATCAGCAGTGGATACACCCCAGATCATGTCTCTGTAATTGGCCAGACAAAGCCTGATCCACTCACCCTTGAGCTTGAGGCCCGCTGTGAACCTGTGCAGAAATGCCAGGCTCTGCCTTTCTTCCCCCATCCCTCCCACAATCCAAGTAAAGCAGATAGGCAGCTGCTCCCTGAGAACCACTTCCGAGTTCCTCATCACTGCTGACACGGTACTCCCCTTTAGGGATGCACTTCCCCTAGAGTCTGCCTCTAAGATGCCACCACTCAAATGCTCCCTCCTCTAGGGAGCCTGTCTTGATACCCCAGCTGGAAGAGGTCTCTCCTTGAGCACCAAGTCCACCCCTCTCACCACACACGCTGCATGACCTCCTAATATTGTTTATGGTTGTGACCTTACTGCCCTAAGACTGTCTACTTCTCTTCTGACCCCACAAGGGCTAGCATTGCCCTCAGAAATCTCAGCCACTGCTTGCTGAATTTCATTAAAAATACATCTCTAATAACCTCTTTGTAAAACAGCTTGGCAGTTTCTTAAAAAGTTAAACATACATATTCTCTGTGAATCAGCAATTCCACTCCTAGGTATATACCTTTGGGAAATGAAAGCACAGGTCTACACAAAGGTTCATATATGAATGTTCACAGCAGCATTATTCATAATAGCCAAAACCTGGAAGCTGCCAAGATACCCATCCCCTGATGAATGATTCAGCACATTGTGGTATAGTCATAAGTGGAATACTACTGAGCCATGAAAAGGAACAAAATCCTGATAAACATCACAACGTGGATGAATTACAAAAGCAGTGCTCTGAGTCCAAGAAGCTGGGCAGAAAGGAGTTTGTGTTCTGATTCCATTTTTCTCAAGTTCTAGAAGAAACAAAGCTAATCTACAGTGGGAAAAATTCAAATTCAAATTCTCCCCCTCCCCACCAGTTACCACCTGTGGTTGGTGGAGAGGGGGAGAATTGGCAGGAAAGGGGCACAAAGAAACTTTCTGGGGTGATGGAAATGTTTTGTACCTTGCTTTAGATGTTGGTCAGATGGAATATATGTTTGTGGAAACCCACCAAAGTGGACATTAAATATCTGTGTATTTTACCAATTACAGTTAAAATTGGAAAAAAAAACCCGAGTATAAATAAATAGCAAATTTCATTTATTTTTAAAAAAACTAATTTCATTCTGTGAATATGTTACTTTTTCTTCAGTATTCCAGTATGAGCACCCGGAGAGAACATGTCAAAGTTACAACCGGCTCCCAGCCAGGCTTCCTGGAACGGCTGAGCGAGACCTCGGGTGGGATGTTCGTGGGGCTCATGACCTTCCTGCTCTCCTTCTACCTAATTTTCACCAATGAGGTTAGCACCTCCCTCAGTCACAGTTGGATCCAAGTGTTCATGCTGGGTCACCAGGAAATCTCCATTTCTTCATGTCTTGCCTGTTTTTCTCTATTGTGGTGTTTTTATTGGGCAGGTACTTCCTCTGTGATGGCAAATGTGGCCCCAGAAACTGGCTTACATCCAACCACTTAGCCCAGGGAAGAGAGAAACCTTTCTTTTTTCCTTCCTTTATTCCTTTCTTTTTTCCCTCCCTCCCTGCCTGTTTCTTCCCTCCTTCCCTCCCTCCCTCCCTTCTTTTTTTCTTTCTTTTCTCTTTCTCTCTTCCTTCCTCCTTCCCTCTCTCCCTTTCTTTTTCTGTTTCTTTCAAAAATAGGACCTCATGATGCAATAGTATATTTCTAAATCATTTTAGCAACAGTTACAGGGCCTCAGTGTCCTGGCTTGGCTCTCAGTCCTCTGAACCAATCTCCCTGGCCAGGCATGACTCACATGTTCTGATTGGCAAGGCCTGGGTCACATGATTTGAACAGGGGTTCAGATAGACCTAGGTAAACCACATGGGCTGAAAGTAGGGAAGGAGTGCCAAGTGTGTTGGCTCAGGCCTATAACCCCAGGACTTTGGGAGGCCAAGGAGGGTGGACTGCATGAGGCTAGAAGTTTGAAAGCAGCCTGGGCAACATAGCAAGACTCTTCTCTACAAAAGGCAGATAAAAATGGGGAGAAAGGTACAAGGCAGGCAGAAACACCAGCTATTCCCACCATTGAGGTGGTGCTAAGATTGGCAGGGGCTGGTGGGAACCAGTGGGGGAGTAGGAAGAAGTCTGCCTGGGAAAGCAGGAATCTGGGTTCTAGTCCTTACTCTCCACTTGCTAGACCTCAGTTTTCCAGCTGTACAGTGGGGAGATGGGTCTCAGTGCTCCCCGAGTCCCCATCCTACCCTGATACTTTGCAACAAGCACAGTCAGGCTGAGCCACCTGAGTTGTTGCAACCCCCACCCCCTTTGCTTCCAGGGCCGCGCACTGAAGACGGCATCCTCGCTGGCTGAGGGGCTCTCGCTTGTGGTGTCCCCTGACAGCATCCACACTGTGGTTCCAGAGAATGAAGGAAGGCTGGTGCACATCATCGGTGCCCTGCGGACATCCAAGGTAGGCTTGGCAGGGATGCTGACCCGCCAGTGGCTCGGGGCTCATCCTGGGTGTTGTCTGGCTGAGGATTTGAAAACATGGGCCTTGGAGATGGTCACACATGGGTGTGATTCCTGCCTCCACCGCTCAGCAGCTGTGTGGACCTGTCAATCCTGAGTCTCAGTGTCTCTATATATAAAATGGGAACGGTAATGATAACAAGCTTGTGGCCAGCCTTGAGGATTTGGTGAGATTAGGTAACTAACATCTTGGTACAGTGGCTGGCACTCAGGGAGGTGCTCTCATGATTGTGATGACCATGTATGTCCATTGCAAGGTCACAGAACTATCTTGGGCACCAGCGCTTTCCTGTTATTTGAACACCCAGAATGCTGTTGGCACCATACCACTGGACCGTGCAGCCCAGGTCCATGCTGTGAGGGTCACAGTCACAGGCAGTACATGTGAAGAACATGGGACGGGGAGCATCCTTGATCCTTCCCTGTGAAGCAGAATAGGGCTCTCCACCCTCATCCCCCTTCTCTAGTTCTTCCACTTCCAGTCCAGTTTCCCCTGAGCCAGGCTTTCTGGGCTGACATGAATCTTATCCTTTATTTTTTTGGTTTCTCTGATTCTGTGTGAAGCTTTTGTCTGATCCAAACTATGGGGTCCATCTTCCGGCTGTGAAACTGCGGAGGCACGTGGAGATGTACCAGTGGGTAGAAACTGAGGAGTCCAGGTGAGGTGCCAGGGGGTGGAAACTGTTGGGGTAAAGGAGGAGTAAGGTGTAGGTGTCAGGATAAAATGCAGATGACTTTCATTGTGATGCCTTTGAAATTCAAGTATAACGTCTTCCTATCAGAAAAGTGTGAAATTATCCTAAAATGAATGGCTAGTGATTTGGAAGTGGCAAAAATCCAGTGAATTGTGGATCCATGAGGAAAGGGAGATTGAGTGGCCCCCTCATCCCGCAAGTTCCAGGGATGCACAAGCTTGAAACATGACTTTTCGCAGGCCTCAAACACTGTCATCAGGATCAGTGTGTCACCCCCCAGACCCCACTGCATCGCTCCATGTTCAGCCTTCCCATCGGCTGTGTTGGTCCCATCTTCTTGCCACTTACAGTTGTATCAGTTCTGACAGGAGTCCCGGGGCAGGCTCACTGACCAGGGCCAGGGTCACCTGGAGCTGAGGGTGGGTTCAGCCCCACCTGAATCACATGGACTCTGACCGATGGGTGGGGAGGTGGTGGGAAGAGCAGGAGAAGAGCAGCTTCAGGAGGCCCACCTGCAGGGTTGTCCTAGAGCAGAGGGTGCAGCCAGATCTCTGAGCCCAGAGGGCAGGGCTGGGCTCCTTGGTGTAAGGCCAGTGGGGGCCGACTTCAGCTCAGGATGGGAGAGTGCTTTCCTCCAGGCAGGGCCTTCAAGGGTGGGAGCTGGCTGGCTGCCAGGAGTGAGTGCCCTGTCTTGGGGCTGGTATAGAGAAGGCATCTGCCCCAGCTGGGGAGTCTGACCTGGTAGCCCTGAGATTGCTTCCAGCTGGAGATGCTTAGAGGTTAGACTGTCCAGGGCGATGGGGCTAACCCCTGTGGCTGCCTTGCTTTCTCTGCAGGGAGTACACCGAGGACGGGCAGGTGAAGAAGGAGACGAGGTACTCCTACAGTGAGTGCTGGGCCCCTTACGTGGTCTCTGCCTCTGGTGGGGGCTCACAGCAGTGGCTGGACAGCAGGGCTGTGGGTGGGGCCATGGGAAGGACACACTAGGTGGCAGGATCCCTGGGTGCCAGCCTTCAGAGCCCTGCTCTCCCACCCATCCAGTGAGGCTCTCCGACCCACCCCTTTGGCTCCGAGATGCGAGGAGCTGGGCTGGTGGGTCTCAGCCACATGCCACTCCTGCCCAGGCTCTGAGTTGATTCCTCTCCCTGAGCAGACACCGAATGGAGGTCAGAAATCGTCAACAGCAAAAACTTTGACCGAGAGATTGGCCACAAAAACCCCAGGTGAGAGCCAGGCCCCAGGCCTGAGTGCAGCCTCGTCTGCACTGGCAGGTCTCCAAACTCAGTTCTTCATCTGAATAACAGGATTGAGTTAATCCTGCCTCATGGGTTGAAAATGTGGGATGTGGTTTTGAGACCAAGCCCTGTGCTGGGCACCAGGAATACAGAGATCTGTCTCCCCTGACCCCAGGCAAGCTTCCCGCAAACAAGTCACAAATGTAAGGCCTGTACTAAGCGTCTAAGGGGATTTGCACGCATGGGGCCAGGAAAGATTTTGTTAACTGTTTGCCATGGGTGGGAGGACAATCAGGACAGGCTTTCTAGAGGCAGCGGCATTGTTCAGGGCTTCCCAGGATTTCAGTGGAGGGAGCATAGTGGTGGTGAGGTGGGCATAACACTTGGGTGTGGCTGGAGGGTAGGCTTGTGCAGCAGTGGTCTGAGCTATGCCAGTATGATGGTCAGGGGCTGGAATGCTCTCTGGCCCGGGAGGGGCTAGTGAGGGATGTGAAGTCCACGCAAAATCCATCTGACAGTGGTGGGGGGGCAGGACAGGCTGGCAGGGGTCTAGGCAAGAGGGTAGGAAGCTCCAGTGAACAGGAGACAGAGTCAGGGTGCTCAGCTCAGGAAGGGGCACAGGACCCCTGGGGTGGGCAAGTCAAGATGTCTGCTGTGCCTGGCCTAGTCTGGACTTGCAGGAACCTTCTGGTGGGGACCCTGCTCAGCACAAACAACCTAAAGGAACCCAGACAGCTCCCACACTAGTGCGCATCACTGACGGCTCCCTCTCTCCCACAGTGCCATGGCGGTGGAGTCGTTCACGGCAACAGCCCCCTTTGTCCAAATTGGCAGGTTTTTCCTCTCGTCAGGTAAGTCTCAGGCCTCTCCGGAGCAGCTCATGCCAGATGCACAAGGCCCCTCCCAGGGCCGAAGCCCCCAACACTCAGCCTTCAGACGGCTAAAGGCACAGGATCAGCCCACACCATTGCAGCACCATGCTTTGGGCTGGGGGCCAGGGGAAGGCGAATCTCCAGGAAGCAAGGGCTAACTAGAAATCCCCACCCCACTCCATCCCACCAGGTTCCTCTGAAACCTTAGTTCTTCCAGAGAATGACTCAGGCATGCATCCTCACCCAGCTGCATGCTGGTGTTTGTGCTGAGTAGACTCTGCTGAGACAGTCCTGCCTCAAGCAGCCTCTAGCTAGTAGTAGACATGGGGCGGTTCAGTGCTGTCAGCCTAGGGCTCTCCCTCTGAGTCCTACCTGTGCCAGGAAGGCAGTGGCTCATCGTAGCCACCCCCCATTGATTCCAAAGAGAAGCTTGCAAGGGATAAGGTGGCACCATCAGCTGGAGTAACCCTGGCGTTCTGTTCCTGGGCCTGACCCATGAAGGTGGGAGAAGACACCAAAGGCCCTGATAGCCCTGAGGAGGCTGGATGTTCCTGGGCTTGGCCTGGCTGCCTTCTGTCTGCTCTGTTGCTGGATGATGCCTGCTGTGCCAGCTGGGCCTGCCCTCAAGTAGCTCTCAGCCCAGGAGGCGAGTCAGGCTTGGATGTGGCTGGTCATAACCCTGATGTCAGGGAAAAGGGCTAAGGCCACTCCCAGCACCGAGGTCACTCTGACTTGGTGGGGAGGGTACAGGGAAAGCTTCCTGGAGAAGATGGTCTAACCCAGGGGAAGCCATGGACAAGACAGAGTCAGAAAGAGGCACCACAGGCTGGAGCGCCACGTGTGCAGGCTCCAAGAATGCAGTGGAAGAGGGTCGGGCTGGAGGCTTTGCAGATTGAGGTTTTCACCTGGTCCACTAGGTTTCTAACCATTCTGCTCCCCTCAGGCCTCATCGACAAAGTCGACAACTTCAAGCCCCTGAGCCTATCCAAGCTGGAGGACCCTCACGTGGACATCCTTCGCCGCGGGGACTTTTTCTACCACAGCGAAAACCCCAAGTACCCAGAGGTGCGCGGAGAGACTTGAGCTTTCCAGATAGAAGGGTCAGGGCCCTACAATCAGGTTCCTGCGACAGGCAGATTCAGCTCAGTTGCATCCACAGCTGCACTTGGCCAAGTGCAGTTGGAGTGGGAGGGGCCTTCTGGGTGACGGCACAGCCTGGGGACGGGTGTGGAGGTGGAGAAGCCTGAGGGGTATGGCTAAGGCATCCTGGACCTGGTCCGAGGCCAGCAACTCCCTGCCTCACTCTCCCCACTTCTCTCTGCCCCAGGTTGGAGACTTGCGCATCTCCTTTGCCTATGCTGGACTGAGCAGCGATGACCCTGACCTGGGCCCGGCTCACGTGGTAACCTGGCTTCCCAGGGGCAGACCCTAAATCAGGGCCTCACGACTTCCCTCAGCATACACACCTTGGTCAATGTCAGGAGCGCTTGGACCCTCTTTTCCCTGGGGAAAGGGGCACACTCACACACACTGTCAGGCGGGCACGCTGCTGGCCAGTTTCAGAGCTCCATGTCCCCACAACTGTCCATGGACCCCACACTAAGAAGGGCGGCTCAAGAGGGGTCTCGTAGTTGTGGCTTATGACTAGTGTTCCAGTCACACGCAGCCCCTCTCCTCCACCCCATTTTGATCTCCAATACTTGGTCTTGTATTCCTGGCCTATGTGCAGTCCCGCCCCAGTCCCCACTCTGCCCGCTGCCCAAGGTACTGCCAGGAGCTTTGAATGGAGCAGCTCAGCCAGAACTGCAGGGGCTGATGCACCCCAGGTGGACAAATGGAGAGAGAATTCCCAGGGTCTCTGCACTCACTTCCCCGGCTGGCACCCAGTCCCAGAGGGGTGGGCTGTGACTCTCGTGGGAGCATCTCCCTCTGGTCGCCCCTCAGCTCTAATGCTAACTCCTCTGACCAGGTCACTGTGATTGCTCGGCAGCGAGGTGACCAACTAGTCCCATACTCCACCAAGTCTGGGGATACTTTGCTGCTCCTGCACCACGGGGACTTCTCAGCAGAGGTGAGTGCTATGCCCCACCTGTATGGTGGGGAAACAAGCGGGTTCTTCCAGTGGTTATTTAATAGGATCCCACTACCAGGGGTCATAGTGAGGGAAGAAGAAGAAATAGCGGAATTTTGAGTATCCCTCATCAAAGTACTTGACCAGGAGCGTTTCAGATTCCAGACTTTTTTTGGATTTGCAGATATCTGTATATACATAATGAGATCTCTTGGGGATGGGAACCAAGTTTAAACACAAAATCTGCTTATGTTTCATGGATGCTTTGTACACATCACCTGAAGGTCATTTTATACAGTGCAACCCCTCACATGTGGTCAGGTGTGGGATTTCACTTGTGGCATCATGTTGGCACTCAAAAAGTTTTGGATTTTGGAGCATTTCAGCATTTGGGTTTTGGGATTGGGGAGGCTGTTTGTTATGAACCCTCAGTGTGCAGGTGTGTGCTAGGCACTAAACTCACTCTGCCTCACAGACTGTCCAGTAGAGGAGTGAGAGTGACAGAAACTCGTAAGTACTGATACATTGTGCCTAGTGTTGGGAAGAGGAGAACAGGTGCTCTGAGACTAGTAGACATCAGAATAGGACATCCATTTCTACAGTGGTCAAGCAGGGCCTCTGACAAGTGAATTTTGCTGACGAGCAGGGGTCAACCCTGGAAGAATCAGGTGTCAGTATTTCTGGCAAGAACAGCCCAGTCTGGGCATGAAAGGGTTCACCTTGTCAGGGGCACCTGGAGTGCTATAGCTACAGCCCAGAGCAGGGAGTGGGAGTGGGAGTGGGAGTGGGAGTGGGAGTGGGTCGGGGGGCTATACCGAGGTCTGTGTCCTTTCAGAACATCAGGAGGGCAGGGAAGGGTTTTGGGTCTCAGCTACCTGGGCATCCCTCTCCCATTGTAAATAGGGAGGGCTATGCCTCCCCTGTGTCCCAAGGAGAAGGGGTGCCTAGATGTGTTGATTAGTTCAGTTCTGTGCCATAAAAGTTAGCTTGTCTTCTCTAGGCAGGCAGTCCCTCTCTGTAGCAGAAAAACTGCATCTTTAGTTTTTCTGTTGTTGATGAACACGGGTGTCCTTGGTGTGGTACTCTATACCTGCCTTAACCAGACTGCTGGAGTTTTCATCCAGAAGGGCCAGAAAGGGGCAAGGCAGCAGGCAGGCATCAGGGGCTAGCTGGGACCTTTTGTTCCTATTATTAGACCCCCAGCAGCCATCTGTCCCATTAGTCTCCAGCCCATGGTAGTGAATGGGCCTCACCCACTCCCGGTAGCTGGCCAGGGCTAGGGTGTGGTCAGGCTGTTACCCAGGAACCCAGTTACCAACCCCGGGGTGGGGCTGCCACCTCCTAGCCTAAAAGGCCATGAGTCACCCTTCCACCAGCAGCTGAGGGTTCCCAGCAGGTTTCTAAAATTAGAAGGCCTAGTCCAGACCTTGCTGTCTCTCCCAGGGCTGAGGCCCCGCTCGCAGAACTGCCCCTCCAGAGAGGAGTGGATGGGGCCCATGGCTTAGGTAATGCCCCAGAAAGGGAAGGCTCTGCAGTGCAGATGGGCAGGTGACCTCCTCACCACCCTGGGCCTCCTGCTGTTTAGCAGACCCAAAGCCCTGCCTTCCCCCAGCCCAGCCCCCCACCCCCACACAAGGTCTGGGGTCTCTGCCAAGTGGAAGAAAAGGCCCAGAGCCAGGCAGGCAGCCCAGGGCAAAAGTCAGGATGCCCCAATTCCAGTCCCACGGGCAGAAGAGTGCAGCCGGCCCTGGTGCTGCCTCCCACCTGCTACAGCACCTTAAGCTGGTGCTGATGATCTCTCAGCCTGTTTCCTCATTCATGAAGAGGAAAATGTTTTAAGTACTATTGGTAGTAGTCTCATCATCCCTAACTGGTTTGGTTGTTGAGGAATATTCATTCATTCAGCAATTTTCATTAAGTACCAAGTACTTCACAGACATGCCCCCTGCTCTTGGAAATGTAGCATTTATTTAACTGCTTGAGGTGAGACCCTGGGCACATGACTTATCCTCTCAGAGCCTCAGTTTCCTCATCTGTAAAATGGAGATAAGTATTCCTACCTCACTGAGTGATTCTGAGGATTTAATAAGATGATACTTGTAAAACACTTAGGAGAGTATCAGATAAATGGCGAACGTCAGTGTGACCTGTTTTTATTGTTACGGACTCTAAGAGAGGGCCCAATTCAGATCAGGGGGTCAGGGAAAGCCCTCTGAAGAAATGGTGTTGAAGCCAAGCTGGAAGAGTGTGCAGGAAGCCGGCCAGGCATGACTGCGGGCAATTACTGTATGTAGGCAGAGAAAACCCACAGGCAGACACCCAAGGGCAAAGGACACTCGACCTGGGCTGGGGACAGCAGCCAGCGGGGTCAGGCTACTGGCGGCAGGGTTAGTGGTAGCAGGGCTCTGGCAGGTGGCTTCATGGAGAGCACGGAGTGGGTGTTTGAAGCAGGACCAGTGAGGCTCCTGTGGGCGGACAGTGGCAAGAGACTCGGGAATATGCGACCTGGACTGGATGGGGGTGGTGGGGGAGGAGCAGGCCACATCTTTTCCCCAGATGTGAGTGGGTGGGTGTGCCATATGCTGAGATAGAGAAGGTTCCAGTGTCAGTGCTAGACAGGCCGAGACATCAAGTGGAAATGTCGAGGAGGTGGTGGGAGCTGCAGGGCTGTGAGGCCCAGAAGGCCAGAGCTGCAGCTTTAAATTGGAGGGTCACGGCATATGGGGGCCAAGCAGGCAGATGGGATGTCTGGGGAAAGAGTATGGACTGAAACAGCTAAAGAAATGCAGCATTTAGGCTGAGTGTGGTGGCTCACACCTGTAATCCTAGCACTTATGGAGACTGAGGTGGGTGGATCACCTGAGGTCAGGAGTTTGAGACCAGCTTGACCATTATGGAGAAACTCCATCTCTACTAAAAAATACAAAAAAAGGTAAAATTAGCTGGGCATGGTGGTGCATGCCTTATAATCCCAGCTACTCGGGAGGCTGAGTCAGAATTGCTTGAACCCAGGAGACAGGTTGCGATGAGCTGAGATTGCACCATTGCACTCCAGGCTGGCTGGGCAACAAGAGCAAAACTCCATCTCAAAAATAAAAAAAAGAATTGCAGTATCTAACGGACAGGAAGAGGGGCATGGACAGTGATGGAACTTGAGAAGGGGGGTGCAGTGTCCCCAAGCTATGTGGAAAGGGTCTGAGATTAAACACATACACAGTGCAGGCATGCTTAAACCTACTCAGGGGTGGTGGGGAGGGTCCCGCTCATTCCAGGTGAGACTGGGCTGAGGGCTCCAGGCATTGGCAGGCTCTGAGCTGAGGAGGGCCCGTACCATCCACAGAGATCTCATGCCTTGCCCTGTGCTTTGCTAGCTGGGCAGAAAGACTTAGCCCTGTAGGAGGCTTGCCCCACCTCCCTCTGACCTGTTCAGAAATGGTCAACAGCTCCAGGTTGCCATAGCCCCCTCAGCACCTGCCCTGCTGACTGTGTAGGCTGCTGCCCCCCTCAGTGTCCTGACCTATCCCCACCTTGTCCTACAGGAGGTATTTCATAGAGAACTAAAGAGCAACTCCATGAAGACCTGGGGCCTGCGGGCGGCCGGCTGGATGGCCATGTTCATGGGCCTCAACCTCATGACTCGGATCCTCTACACCCTGGGTAAATGTCGGGGCGGGTCTCTGCCCTTCCTCTTACAGTCTCCTCTGCCTGTTGCATCATCTCAGCCCTTCCAGCCTGATGGGATGGCCCCTGTGCAGAGACAAGGCAGTTGGCCCATCTCTGTGTCCCTGCTCCATAGCCTTGGGATGAGGGAGCAGAGGAAGGCAAGTGTGAGGCCAGGAGCTGCCAAGGGCAAGGCTGGGTGGGGCCGACTCTGGGGCACTGGTCTTGCTCCATTGCCTGAAGATCTGTCCATCCACTCGGCTTGCTCATTTGCTCATCATTCCTTTGCTCCACAATTGAATATCACATGGGACCCAGCCAGACCTGCTTGAAATCTGTCACATCCAAGCTCTGGATGCTTGGCCATTCCCTTTCCACCTCAGCTTCAGTCCCCTCACCCCTCACATGCAGAGTTTTATGAAATGTTTGGCAAATAGGAAACACCCAAAACTATCATGTTTCCTTCCTTACTCCAAAACCTGGGCTAGATTTGGACAGCCAGCAAGTCTGGAGGATGAAGGAGAGTTCTGGGCCGTTCTCCTAGCCTGAGGTTGGTGCCAGCAAGCCCAATAGGAGCCCTGTGTCCTAGAGTGGTTGGAGATCTGAGTGCCCAGGGTGGCTGAGTATGTTCTGGGCCTGGGAGGTTGTGGTTCCACATAGAACTCTCCCTCCAAGCCTTTCCCTGGTGTGTGTCTCTTCCAATTACATGACTGGGTCCAGCCTTCTCTGGGTGCCAACAGAAACCTCTCCCCCATTCAGCAGGTACAAGTTGGAAGAGGTCTGGCAGCACATCTTGGGCTGTCAGAGCTTGTGGGGACCACCACCTTTGTTTACAGTTCAGAAAACAGGGCTTGGAAGGAAAGGACTCTCCCTGAGGCTTTCTTTGGACAGCCGAATTGTGCTCAGAAAGACAAGTGACATGGTGGGCACATTAGGGAGAGATCAGCATTTATTTATTTATTATTATTATTTTTTTAATTTTTTATTGGATTTTAGGTTTTGGGGTACATGAGCAGAGCATGTAAGACAGTTGCGTAGGAACACACATGGCAGTGTGCTTTTCTTTCCTTCTCCCCTTCACCCACATTTGGCATTTCTCCCCAGGCTTTCCCTCCCCACCTCCCCCTCCCACTGGCCCTCCCCTTTTCCCCCCAATAGACCCCAGTGTTTAGTACTCCCCTTTCTGTGTCCATGTGTTCTCATTTTTCATCACCCACCTATGAGTGAGAATATGCGGTGTTTCATTTTCTGTTCTTGTGTCAGTTTGCTGAGGATGACTTTCTCCAGATTCATCCATGTCCCTACAAACGACACAAACTCATCATTTCTGATTGCTGCATAATATTCCATGGTGTATATGTGCCACATTTTTCCAATCCAGTCTATTATCAATGGGCATTTTGGTTGATTCCAGGTCTTTGCTATTGTAAACAGTGCTGCAATGAACATTCGTGTACATGTGTCCTTATAGTAGAACGATTTATAGTCTTTTGGATATATACCCAGTAATGGGATGGCTGGGTCAAATGGAGTTTCTATTTCTAAGGCCTTGAGGAATCGCCACATTGTCTTCCACAATGGTTGAACTAATTTACACTCCCACCAACAGTGTAAAAGTGTTCCTTTTTCTCCACATCCTCTCTAGCATCTGTTGTCTCCAGATTTTTTAATGATCGCCATTCTAACTGGCGTGAGATGGTATCTCAATGTGGTTTTGATTTGCATCTCTCTGATGACCAGTGACGATGAGCATTTTTTCATATGATGGTTGGCCTCATATATGTCTTCTTTCGTAAAGTGTCTGTTCATATCCTTTGCCCACTTTTGAATGGGCTTGTTTGTTTTTTTCCTGTAAATCCGTTTGACTTCTTTGTAAATTCTGGATATCAGCCCTTTGTCAGATGGGTAAACTGCAAAAATTTTTTCCCATTCTGTTGGTTGCCGATCCACTCTAGTGACTGTTTCTTTTGCCGCGCAGAAGCTGTGGAGTTTCATCAGGTCCCATTTGTCTATTTTGGCTTTTGTTGCCAATGCTTTTGGTGTTTTGTTCGTGAAGTCCTTGCCTACTCCTGTGTCCTGGATAGTTTTGCCTAGATTTCCTTCTAGGGTTTTTATTGTGCCAGGTCTTATGTTTAAGTCTTTAATCCATCTGGAGTTAATTTTAGTGTAAGGTGTCAGGAAGGGGTCCAGTTTCTGCTTTCTGCACATGGCTAGCCAGTTTTCCCAACACCATTTGTTAAACAGGGAATCCTTTCCCCCTTGCTTGTTTTTGTCAGGTTTATCAAAGATTGTATAGTTGTAGATATGTTGTGTTGCCTCCGGTGCCTCTGTTTTGTTCCATTGGTCTATATCTCTGTTTTGGTACCAGTACCATGCTGTTTTGATTACTGTAGCCTTGTAGTATAGTTTGAAATCCGGTAGTGTGATGCCCCCCGCTGTGTTCTTTTTGCTTAGAATTGACTTGGCTATGCGGGCTCTCTTTTGGTTCCATATGAAGTTCATGGTGGTTTTTTCCAGTTCTGTGAAGAAAGTCAATGGTAGCTTGATGGGGATAGCGTTGATTCTGTAAATTACTTTGGGCAGTATAGCCATTTTCACGATATTAATTCTTCCTAACCATGAACATGGAATGTTTCTCCATCTGCTTGTGTCCTCTCTGATTTCGTTGAGCAGTGGTTTGTAGTTCTCCTTGAAGAGGTCCCTTACGTTCCTTGTGAGTTGTATTCCAAGGTATTTTATTCTTTTTGTAGCAATTGTGAATGGCAGTTCATTCGTGATTTGGCTTTCTTTAAGTCTGTTATTGGTGTAGATGAATGCTTGTGATTTTTGCACATTGATTTTATATCCTGAGACTTTGCTGAAGTTGCTTATCAGTTTCAGGAGATTTTGGGCTGAGGTGATGGGGTCTTCTAGGTATACTATCATGTCGTCTGCAAATAGAGACAATTTGGCTTCCACCTTTCCTATTTGAATACCCTTTATTTCTTTTTCTTGCCTGATTGCTCTGGCTAGAACTTCCAGAACTATATTGAATAGGAGTGGTGAAAGAGGGCATCCTTGTCTAGTGCCAGATTTCAAAGGGAATGCTTCCAGTTTTTGCCCATTCAGTATGATATTGGCTGTTGGTTTGTCATAAATAGCTTTTATTACTTTGAGATACGTTCCATCGATACCGAGTTTATTGAGGGTTTTTAGCATAAAGGGCTGTTGAATTTTGTCAAATGCCTTCTCTGCATCAATTGAGATAATCATGTGGTTTTTGTTTTTGGTTCTGTTTATGTGGTGAATTACGTATATAGACTTGCGTATGTTGAACCAGCCTTGCATCCCTGGGATGAATCCTACTTGATCATGGTGAATAAGTTTTTTGATTTGCTGTTGCATTCGGCTTGCCAATATTTTATTGAAGATTTTTGCATCTATGTTCATCATGGATATTGGCCTGAAGTTTTCTTTTCTTGTTGGGTCTCTGCCGGGTTTTGGTATCAGGATGATGTTGGTCTCGTAAAATGATTTGGGAAGTATTCCCTCTTTTTGGATTGTTTGAAATAGTTTTAGAAGGAATGGTACCAGCTCCTCTTTGTGTGTCTGGTAGAATTCGGCTGTGAACCCGTCTGGACCTGGGCTTTTTTTGTGTGGTAGGCTCTTAATTGCTGCCTCGACTTCTGCCCTTGTTATTGGTCTATTCATAGTTTCAGCTTCCTCCTGGTTTAGGCTTGGGAGGACACAGGAGTCCAGGAATTTATCCATTTCTTCCAGGTTTACTAGTTTATGTGCATAGAGTTGTTTGTAATATTCTCTGATGATGGTTTGAATTTCTGTGGAATCTGTGGTGATTTCCCCTTTATCATTTTTTATTGCATCTATTTGGTTGTTCTCTCTTTTATTTTTAATCAATCTGGCTAGTGGTCTGTCTATTTTGTTGATCTTTCCAAAAAACCAGCTCTTGGATTTATTGATTTTTTGAAGGGTTTTTCGTATCTCAATCTCCTTCAGTTCAGCTCTGATCTTAGTTATTTCTTGTCTTCTGCTGGGTTTTGAGTTTTTTTGATCTTGCTCCTCTAGCTCTTTCAATTTTGACGATAGGGTGTCAATTTTGGATCTCTCCATTCTCCTCATATGGGCACTTATTGCTATATACTTTCCTCTAGAGACTGCTTTAAATGTGTCCCAGAGGTTCTGGCATGTTGTGTCTTCGTTCTCATTGGTTTCGAAGAACTTCTTTATTTCTGACTTCATTTCACTGTTTACCCAGTCAACATTCAAGAGCCAGTTGTTCAGTTTCCATGAAGCTGTGTGGTTCTGGGTTGGTTTCTGTATTCTGAGTTCTAACTTGATTGCACTATGGTCTGAGAGGCTGTTTGTTATGATTTCAGTTGTTTTGCATTTGTTGAGCAGTGCTTTACTTCCAATTATGTGGTCAATTTTTGAGTAGGTGTGATGTGGTGCTGAGAAGAATGTATATTCTGTGGATTTGGGGTAGAGAGTTCTGTAAATGTCTATCAGGTTTGCTTGCTCCAGGTCTGAGTTCAAGCCCTGGATATCCTTGTTGATTTTCTGTCTGGTTGATCTGTCTAATATTGACAGTGGAGTGTTAAAGTCTCCCACTATTATTGTGTGGGAGTCTAAGTCTCTTTGTAAGTCATTAAGAACTTGCCTTATGTATCTGGGTGCTCCTGCATTGGGTCCATATATGTTTAGGATCGTTAGCTCTTCTTGTTTTATCGATCCTTTTACCAGTATGTAATGGCCTTCTTTGTCTCTTGATCTTTGTTGCTTTAAAGTCTATTTTATCAGAGATGAGAATTGCAACTCCTGCTTTTTTTTGCTCTCCATTTGCTTGGTAAATCTTCCTCCATCCCTTTATTTTGAGCCTTTGTGTATCCTTGCATGTGAGATGGGTTTCCTGGATACAGCACACTGATGGGTTTTGGATTTTTATCCAATTTGCCAGTCTCTGTCTTTTGATTGGTGCATTTAGTCCATTTACATTTAGGGTTAATATTGTTATGTGTGAATTTGATACTGCCATTTTGATACTAAGTGGCTGTTTTGCCTGTTAGTTGTTGTAGAATCTTCATTATGTCGATGCTCTTTAACTTTTAGTGTGATTTTGGAATGGCTGGTACTGGTTGTTCCTTTCTATGTGTAGTGCCTCTTTTAGGAGCTCTTGTAAAGCAGGCCTGGTGGTGACAAAATCTCTGAGTACTTGCTTGTTCGCAAAGGATTTTATTTTTCCTTCACTTCTGAAGCTCAATTTGGCTGGATATGAAATTCTGGGTTGAAAGTTCTTTTCTTTAAGAATGTTGAATATTGGCCCCCACTCTCTTCTGGCTTGTAGTGTTTCTGCCGAGAGATCTGCTGTGAGTCTGATGGGCTTCCTTTTGTGGGTAACTCGACCTTTCTCTCTGGCTGCCCTTAGTATTTTCTCCTTTATTTCAACCTTGTTGAATCTGACGATTATGTGCCTTGGGGTTGCTCTTCTTGCAGAATATCTTTGTGGTGTTCTCTGTATTTCCTGCATTTGAGTGTTGGCCTGTCTTGCTAGGTGGGGGAAGTTTTCCTGGATGATGTCCTGAAGAGTATTTTCCAGCTTGGATTCATTCTGTTCGTCCCCTTCTGGTACACCTATCAAACGTAGATTAGGTCTTTTCACACAGTCCCACATTTCTTGGAGACTTTGTTCATTCCTTTTTGCGCTTTTTTCTCTAATCTTGGTTTCTCGTTTTATTTCATTGAGTTGGTCTTCGACTTCAGATATTCTTTCTTCTGCTTGGTCAATTCGGCTATTGAAACTTGTGCATGCTTCACGAAGTTCTCGTATTGTGTTTTTCAGCTCCTTTAATTCATTCATATTCCTCTCTAAGTTATCCATTCTTGTTATCATTTCCTCATATCTTTTAAGTTCCTTAGTTTCTTTGCATTGATTTAATACATGTTCTTTTAGTTCACGAAAGTTTCTCATTATCCACCTTCTGAAGTCTAATTCCATCATTTCGTCACAGTCATTCTCCATCCAGCTTTGCTCCCTAGCTGGTGAGGAGTTTTGGTCCTTTCTAGGAGGCGAGGTGCTCTGGTTTCGGGTGTTTTCCTCCTTTTTTCGCTGGTTTCTTCCCATCTTTGTGGGTTTATCCGCTTGTCATCTACGTAGTTGCTGACTTTTTGATTGGGTCTCTGAGTGGACACCCAGATTGTTGATGATGAAGTATTTCTGTTACTTGGTTTTCCTTCTACCAGCCTAGCCCCTTCGCTGTACGACTGCTGAGGTCCACTCCAGGCCCTGCTTGTCTGGGGTGCACCTCTAGCAGCTGTGGCACAGTGAGGGATGCTACCCGTTTCTTTTTCTGCTATCTTTGTCCCAGGATGATGCCTGCCAAATGTCAGTCTTTTGGATATAGAGGGGTCAGGGAGCTGCTTGAGGAGACAGTCTGTGTACTTTTTTGGAGCTCAATTGCTGAGCTGTGAGCTCTGTTGTTCATTCAGGGCTGTTAGGCTGCTATGTTTGATTCTGCTGCAACAGAGCTCATTAAAAAAAACCCTTTTTTTTTCTCAAATGCTCTGTGTTGGGGGGTTCGGGCTTTATTTTTCGATGTCCGATGAGGTGTCCTGCCCAGCTAGAAGGCAGACTAGCCACTGTTTGGCTGCCGAGGCTCCGCCCTGCTGTTGTGTGATTCGCCCTGTTCCTGCAGGCTCTGCTGTGGTCTCTGCCATGCCCTGCAGCGGAGTCTCTTCGTTGTAGCGTGTTGCCTCAGCAATGGCAGGCTGCGTCAGCAGTGGGCGTGTATCTCAGTAGGGACGGGTTGCCTCGGCAACGGCTGGCTGCGTCAGCAGTGGCGTGTATCTCAGTTGGGGCGCGTTGCCTCGGTAGTGGTGGACGCCCCTCCCCCACAGAGCGTCTCGGACCATCTGCTCGGGATAGTTTGAAATCGCAGTTTTGTTTGTCCCACTGGGTGTCCCAAACGATCTGTCCCTGCAATCCCCTGGGCTTGCCTACTGTCCAAGTCTCGTTCAGTCTCAAGTCCAGCCCTCTCAAGTCTCAGGTTGCCGGTTCAACAGAGCACCCGGACAAGCGCGCCCTGTGGGGATTGCTGGGTAGGGCCGGCTGCCGCCGCCCCAGCTGCCGGCTTTGCCAGGCAGACCTACTGCCTGGCATCCCGTGTCTTTTTTATACTTGGGAGTTTCCCCGTTCTGTGGGCAACAAAGATCAGTCTGGAAATGTAGCTCCGACTCACTGTTTGCGGATTCAACGAGAGCTCCAATCCTGGGTTGTTCTCACAGCGCCATCTTGAGTCCTCCCCCGAGGTCAGCATTTAAACGGAATCCTCCATCTTACCTTTATGACCTTGGGCAGACCAGTTCCTTTCTGGAGCCTCAGTTTCCTCCTGTCTGTCTGAGGGCCCTTCTTTGGATCTCTGACGTCTTCAGATTCCAGTTCACTCTATGTCTGGAATGCTCCAGACTCAGACAGACTCAGTGTGGAGAAACCTGCAGGGCGGGTGGGGTGAGTTGGGAGCGCAGCAGGGAAGCACACACTCCCCTATACGTTTGATAAATACTGACTACCATGTGTAAGACTCCATAGCAACAGAGATAGGCTTAGAGCAATAGCTCAGAGCCCAGGCTCTGGGCCTAGATGGTTATGAGTTCAAATCCTGGTTCTGGCACTTTTTACTTGGGGTGAGTTTCTTAACTCCCTGAGCCTCAGTGACCCTATAGGTAAAATGAAGTTAAGAAGAATACCTACCGTACGGGGTGGGCATGAGCACTTCATGAGATAACACATAGGCAATGCTCAGAAACATGAACTTTGCTGATCATAAGGGGTAAGTAGCAGTGCCGTATGGAACAGACCAGGATGAGTCCCAATGGTGGCTTGCAGGATGTGCTGCAGGCATGGTGGGGCACCAGGACTGGCTCTGCAAACCCAGTGATTCCAGACCACTGGTGACCTCCTGGGAACTGAGCGAAGATTCCCTGAGTGGACATGAGCTATGGAACGCCAACCTGGAGAGGTCACACAAGGCAAGAATAGGGTAATTCCTCATGAATTTAGCTGGAACCTAGGCTTTATCCTGTTGAACCAATAGTTTGTCAGATTCTTGAGGAGAGGCCAATGCTTAGGCTAATTTATTCCCTATAGTACCTGCTGCTTCAGTGCTGGGCAGATAAATAATTAGTAACATCTTACTGCATGAACGAATAAACACCTCTAGGAATGGCTGAGAGGTCCAAACAGGCACCCACAGGAGGCTCCACCTACAGACTCTTGTGTGAGTATGTAGGACCCAGGGTATTTCTAGCATTCCAGGCAAATGTCTTTATACTGGCCTCAGACTACTATCCACATATAGTATTAAAGTTTACAGAGCACTGCCATGCCCTCTCCCCTGCAGCGGGGTAGAGTGGGTGGCTCAGTGTGTCCAGCCATGCAGCTCATAGCAGAGGCTCCCGTGCTCCCTTAGCTCTCAGAACAAGGCTCTTTGCCTTCTGCTGCACTGACTCTCTCCCCTCCTCACGCACGAAGCAACAGAGGCCCATCCTTACCTAGGGACAGGAGTGATCTGCTGAGCTGGTGAGATGTAGAGCGGGTCACACCGCATTGCCTTTCTCCTTTCCACAGTGGACTGGTTTCCTGTCTTCCGAGACCTGGTCAACATTGGCCTGAAAGCCTTTGCCTTCTGCATGGCCACCTCACTGACCCTGCTGACTGTGGCGGCTGGCTGGCTCTTCTACCGGCCCCTGTGGGCCCTCCTCATCGCCAGTCTAGCCCTGGTGCCCATCATTGTTGCTCGGACACGAGTGCCGGCCAAAAAGCTGGAGTGAAAAGACCTGGCACCCACTCGACACCTGCGTGAGCTCTAGGATCCAGGTCTCCCTCACCCCTGACCCAGCTCCATGCCAGAGCAGGAGCTTGGAGCAGTTTTGGACTCTGCACCCCCTCTCCTCTCCAGGGGCCAGACTTGACAGCACATGCAACGGGTTGGTCTTCCCCATGCCCCTTCTTGCCAGTAAGCAGCTTGTAAATGGCAACCTGACAGCTTCTCCTACTGTTTCCTTCCTCTCTCCTGGACTGAGTGGGTACGGCTGGCCACCCAGCCCATCGGCAGCTGACGACGCAGACGCTCCACAGAGGCCTGCTGATAAAGGGCTCAGCCTTGCTATATGCTGCTTCTCATCACTGCACACGGTGCCAGGCTTTGCCACCACCACCAAGCACATCTGTGATCCTGAGGGGTGGCCATTTGTCATTACTGCTGAGTCCTGGGTCACCAGCAGACACACTGGGCATGGACCCCACAAAGCAGGCACACCGAAAATCTAGTCTGTGGCCAGAACCTGATTTTTTACTTAAACACTGAAGATGTTCCAAGGAGAAAAGCTGGACATATGTTGGGCTTTACATGTACCTTATGGCTTGGTAGAATCTGTAGTGTGTGGGGTCTCTGAAGGCCCTACTTAAGTTTTTCTTCATTTTGCTGCTTCCTGTGTACTTTCCTACCGCAAGAGGGAGTTTTCTGAAAGATTTAAAAAAAAAAAACCACACACACAGACCTGAATGATTAATATTTCAGACTGTTACGGGAAACACCTTTTAGTCTGTCAGTTGAATTCAGAGCACTGAAAGGTGTTAAATTGGGGTGTGTAGTTTGATAAAAAGTTACCTCTGTCAGTATTTTGTGTCACTGAGAAGCTTTACAAGGGATGCTTTTGAAACAACCATTAGCAAAAGGATTTGTTCCCTCTGGGAAGAGAAGGTGGAGAAAGCACTTGCTTTCGTCCTCTGGCATCGGAAACTCCCCTGTGCACTTCAAGATGATTTAAAAGATTAAAGAAAATATTAAGAGAAAAGTTGGAATCTTTATACTAAATGAATGGGCTCCTTCATAGCCCAGTCAACCACAATAAAGAACTGGGGCCTGAGGCTTGCTATAGAATGCCCACACCTGCCTGGCTGATTTCACTGGGAGTGCTTTGGGCACGGGCACCTGGGCCTCCTATCTTTGCTTCTGAGTGGTTCTTTTGCGGGTTGTGTCCATAGCTTTAGTCATCCTAAATAAAATCCACCCACACCTAAGTCACAGAATTTCTGTTTCCCAACTACTCTCACACCCTTTTAAAGTATGCTGTAACCAGGATGATGTCTTAAATGATTTGTATACCTTCTCTCACATTCAGAAACTTTTGCACCTGCTGGGAATAACTGCTTTAGCAAGTTAAGTATTTGGTAGATAAATAAGGAAGGGGTCAGAACTTCTGAAACCAGAGATCTGTAGTCATCTCTCTTGGCCTGGGGTGCCTGTACTATAAATGAGTTTCTTTACATGAAAAACACAGCCAGCCCAAGATGACTTATCTGGGTTTGGGATTGAATAGTATTCACTAACTGCTTATAACATGAGCAATTTCATCAAATCCCCAAAATCTTAAAGGATGGTTCTGGAAAACACACAGTATAACTAGATGGTGGCTAAATGCAAAATCCTTGGGATTTGGTTTTTTTCTAATAAGGATTTTAAGTTACTGCCAACTTCAAAAGTGTTCTTAGAGAGAAAAATGTTAAGAAAAATGTGAAAGCTTTGAAAACCAAATTTGTATTATCTTTGTATTTTTGATGAAAAATTTTGAAATAAATTTCTAAGTATCTTCTGGTATGGGACCCTGACATCCTGTTTTATTTTTATTTTTTGGCATTCTTTCTGAAATTCCTATAAATAATTCAGCCATAGGATTTATTGAGAACTGAATTTTGTGGAACTTTGTTCTGAGTTTTCAGTGGTTAAAATAGGTTTTTTTTTTTTTTTTTTTTTTTTTTAAGGGCAACTCTATTCCTACCACTCAGGCCTTCCATACAGAAGCCCACTTTGTTTTGGCTTGATTTAAAGTGAATGACTCAGGCTTCATGCATCTTCAGAATGTGCCAGAAGAGGTGGAAGGGGCAACAGTGTGCTGCACAGCCAAAGGCATCCTGAGTTGGCACACAGACCTGAGTTCTGAGCCAAAGTTTGCTACAAACTGGTTGTGATGCTGGGCAAATCAAAGATCTGAGTCTGTTCCCTCACTGGTACAATGGGAACAGCACTTGTCCACCTCACAAGATTATTGTGAGGGCCAAATGAGATAAAGCCCATAGAATGCCTGACTCATGGCATTAATTTTTCATTCCTCTATTTCCTGTTCTGAAGCAATGGCTGCTAACTGCCCACTCTGATGCTAGCAGTTTGAGTGCTTTATTTTTCATAAGCAGGTGAGTGGTAACTTTCTCAAACCTCTTCTGTTTCTCATAACCTACTGTTTCAATAATGCCTCCTAGTAGCTGACATATGCCTGAAGAAGTTATTTCTGCAGAGACATGGCAATGCCATCGTCTCAAAACCCCAGAAAGACAAGCATGGTGGTGCATGCCCATGGTCCCAGCTACTCAGGAGGCTGAGGTGAGAGGATTGATTGCTTGAGGCCCAGAGGTGGAGGCTGCAGTCAGCTGAGATCACGCCACTGCACTACAGCCTGGGCAGCAGAGTAAAACCCTGTCTCAAAAAATTAAAAAAAAAAAAAAAAAAAAGTGTGAGCCAGTTTCCATAGCAACCCCGGTCTGTTTCTCAACAAGAAGCTCCAGCCAGCCTCTTGCCACATATGAGTCATAACCCAAGTGTTTTGTTTGTTTCCCTTGGATAAAACTGACTCATTTTTAACGGCTCCTCTCAAAGATTAAGTAATATCTCTTCACTAAACACAGAAAAATTCCATGTGTAATGAGTTCCCAGCCTACATGAAAACAAGATTCTTTCATGCTGTCTCAACATACAAACAAACTGCTCTGTCACCTGGATGTTCTTTCTGATGTAAATCTGAAAGAAGCTGGGCACAGGCGGTGGTGTGTGGGTGCCTGCAGTCCTGAGAAGCTGGGACTGTTTGTCGAACAATGCCTTTCTACTGCACACGGCGGCTGTGAGGGCAACTGAGGTAAAGCCCTCAGTAGAACCACTAATGCCCAGGAGTCCAGCCTGGGCAACATGGTAAGACGCCATATTTTAAAAGAAAATCTGAAAGCAAATATAGAGCCAAGTCTTTAGATAAATGCTTTATTTTTTTCTTAAAGTGTTACAAAAGTTATTTCTCCTGAGTATCTATAGTACTGAGAGCTTTATTACATTTATCTAGTAATGAACAGAATCTAGTTTAACACTGATCTATTTTACTAACATTTCCATAATTTTCAATTGGTGTTTTTCCTTCCTTTCCTGATTTTACCTTTTTTTTAGGCTTCTGCCACCACAAAATGTTACTTGGAAAACTAGATCCCAGCAATTCCATAATCTGAGATGACCTGTACTTCTCCTCTGCTCTCCCCACTACTGCAAGGAGGCAGAAAAGGCAGCATTAGTAAGCCTGACTCAGGGGAAGGTAAGCAGCCTGCAGAGAAAGGGTCCTACGTCTGCAAATGAGGCAAGTGAATTTGTCAGACAGATGAAGACAACTGGGAGAAAGAATCAGCACATTCATGGATGCACCACCATCCAGAAATCTCTCGGTCACTTCCCTACAAAAACTGATGTTTCCAATGAGAAGAACAGGTCTAGGAGGCAGGAGGGTGTCTCCCGGCAAAGTGTTCTGTAGCTCAGAGTGAGTGGACTTTGGTAACAAAAAGCTTTGAAGGCTTCACCCTGGGTGAATCTGACAAGGGCTGGGGCCAGGCTGGACCTGTAGCATCTCCTCAGCTTGGCCTCCTCTCCCTTGGCCCCGCCTCAGTGCATGCTGCCTCAGTTTCCCTTCTCAGCAGAAATGCCCCCATCACCAGGGACTGGGCATGCCCAGGGCAGGTATGGGGCCAGTAGTGGGGCAGCAACAAGTAGTGGATGCCCCTATAGGGGGTGCTCAGCTCACAGCTTCTCAAATGGGAACAGGTGGGAAGCTGCTGCCTTCCTTTCCCTTTTGGTCTTCTTGGGCCCACCCTTCAGCTTCTGCTTTTCTTCATCTTCTCGGTTTTGAGGCCAGGAAGCAGCGAGTATCCTGGCTGCTTCTGCTTGAGAACTGGTACCCTCCTCTTCATCAGAAGAGAGTCCACCTCCTGCATCTGAATGGGAAGCTGCTGCCTCACTCTAGACAGGGGGCAGTGGTGGAAGGACACAGGCCAGGGTCAGTAATCAGATATAAGGAAGCACCATGAAGAGGCAGCAAGTTCTCAGCCTGCCCTAAGCTGTGTGACTCTGGGAGGACGGTGAGGGAAGAGAGCCCAGACCCTTCTTACTGAGCCTTCCTCAGCCTGGGGTGAATCCAAGCAGACACCAGAGCACCTGCTATGAGCTGAGTGCTAGGGAACACAAGAATGGCCGGGCGAAGCTGCCCACAAGGAGCACACCACCGTATCTGGAGATGCCTGTGATCCGTGCCTTGCATTTGCTACCTCATTTCTGGACAAAAGTACATGATGACTTGAATAGGCCAGATGCACAGTTCAGCCCTCGGAGTCCTAAGATCTGAGGTGACACTCCCTGCCAGCTGGGATGATTGGGGAGGGTTTGGATGGAGAGGGCGGCAAGGAGCTAGTCAGAACATAAAGCCAAGGGCCTTTTCTCCACCAAAGGGATTGGAATGAGAAGCGTGATGAAAAAACGTTTAAAGGCAAACAGGCAGCACAGAGGGTTGGACACAGGGAACTAAACATGCCAGCGCAGTTTCTGCTGTGTCTGACACAGCACTGACTGCACCACTAACTGCGTCTAGGCTTCATCTGCCCCAGGAAGGGCCCCCCTTGAGGGCTGCATGTCAAATTCACACCTGCGTCCAAGCCTGGCCTGGCACATGGCAGGTGCTGAGAGAGGTACTAAGCAGGCCACTGCAGGCCTGCAGGATGGTCACAGGCACCAGGAATACTGGGAGGCAGAAGGGTGCACCAAACACAAGATGCTTGGCTCTCCCTATGTGTTTAGTGTCAAATCAGACCCCTGGCAGGGCTCATGTGGACAGTAGAAACGGGGACACTGCGGCAGGGCTTGGGGCACAGTGAGCCAGCTGAGACCTCACCCCAGGGACATCTCTCCCAAAAAGGTAAAAACATGGGGCCTTAGAGACAAAGGACTGAGGCATCCTAACACAAAGCTATCCCTGACTTGGTGTTGGGGCAGAACCTGGGCCAGGGCTTTCTGAGCTGCACCTCCAGAATATTGACCCTGGGCTTGTCTTCTCTGCAAAGAATCCGCACTGACCTTAGGCCCATAGCGACGCTTCAGCCTCTCCCTGATGAGAAGACCTTTGGTCAGCAGCTTCCAGTTCCCTAGAGCCCGTTTCTCCCTTTTCTGCAGGCAAAAATGAAGTAAGAGAAAAGTGTTAAGCACTGACATTTCCAGGAAAAGCAGTAAGATGGAAACTGGAACATAAAGACAGATATATACAGGATTTTAAGTGAGGATATAGCCTCTCCTTCATACCAAGTCTCACTTCCCAAAAAACCTGATCGGATTTACAAAGTGATATACTATACTTGAAAGCCACAAGAACAGACACCTTTTTAATCGTTACTGACTCCAAAATCTTTAGCGGATGAAGTCCTCCAGAACCTGGACACAGGCAGTTCAAAACAGAGGCAGGTGTGGGCAGCAGACCCCAGAGCCTGGACCTGGGCCCCTGAGGGACAGTGACAGTGACTCTGCAGGGTAGGCAGGAGCCTGCTGTATCCAGGGCTTGCTCCCTCAAAGTGCCTGCCATGTCAGAGAGGGTTGGGAAGAGCCTGGGAGCACATGGACGCGGCCTGGGGAGGAAAGAGGCCACCTGCGGAATGCTGCTTCCCACTTCTGCTGTTCCTCAGTCCTGTATATGGGCTCACCTCCTTCTCCTTCTTTTCAATGATCGCCTGTTCATTTTCCCAGGCAGTCAGGAGCACATCTTTGAATTCCTCGCAGACGATGTATCCGTCAGTACTGTGGGGATATAATGCAATGTCAACTCTCCAGCCTGCGGCCTGCTCTGCCTCTCCTCCCGGTTTGCAGAAGACAGTGGGCCACATCTGAGCACCAGGGGTCCTGAAGGATGTCCTGGGTCAGCCAGTGTCCTACACCCCCCATGCAGAAGGCAAGTCTGTGGAAACTAGCACTGCCTCTTCCTCCCCAGATCCTGCCTTAAAAAGCTGGGGTGAAAGCCCCTGTCCAGCCTCGCCACCATAGAATAGAGCTCACTAACCAGGTAGCTGCCCAGAAAAGATGATGACTGTTTTTTGCTCACTAGCCTGTGAGCCCCTGAACCTGGGAAGAACATTTTAATCCAGCATTAGGATGCCGGTTTCACTGGCTCTATTGCCTCTGGAGGGAAGCCGGAATTGGTAAAGCAATAACTTTGGAAAGCCAGCGTAACATTCTGAAAATCAGAGCCACCAGGCCTCAACTCTCAGCAGCCCCATGCCAGCTTTCCATCCCCATCTCCAGAGCCACCCCTCCCTGTCCCTCTGTTTAGCCTCCATTAAAGGCCCCTCACGCACACAGGATGGGAGTAGCCGCCATGGAAATCAAAGCCAGTGATGGCCTGGACACAGTCGATGTCCAGCTTGCGGGCCACGCGGTGTAGATTAGGCAGGTTCAGCTGGACACAGCCAATAGGCATCATGCTGGGCAGGAAGAGGTACACATTCCCAAACTCGTTCCGGGGCAC